ACATTTGAAATGATGTTCTTGTTTCTTACTCATTTTAAGAGCGACGGACAGAAGGTGGTGGTAGATTCAAAAAAGGTCGATTTCACGGACCCGAATCATCAACCTGGTTCATTCGAAGGAGCTACAAGTGAACGGAAACCTATTCAATAGCAATAATAATATCATATTCTACGAACTTTGTTGTTGGTTAACTTTTACTTTAATCTGGCTTTGATATTTTAATATTCAAGATTCATTTATAAATAAAAGTTGAGTTATTTTGATCATATTCAGTTTTTGTGTTTGAATACGTCAGTCTATGTTTCCTCCCTGATTCAAAATCAGGAGATTTTGAAAATGGTCTTAGTGTGGCAGATGGAAAACGTATTCAACACTTGAAGCTTATTTCTAAAAGAAACTAATATTTTGAGACGTTCCGTCCATGTAAAAAAATTAATTGCTGGTTCTTTACCTTGTAAGCATTCATCCTTTACTCTTTTTACCATTGGTAAAGCCAGCAGAATCCACTACCATTGCTAAAAAAAGTTCAAATGAATGTTTATTTTTTCCATTTTTATTCATGCATTCGACACAATGGTAGCGCAAAGTGCTTATCTGACTGTGTGCAACGGCAGTTGGTTTACAGTAACGACTTCCAAGCCTTCCAAATTTTTTTGAAAACGTAGTACTCTCAAAACTGTTGCTATATGGTGAGGGTGAGGTTTTACACTTAGAGTCCGCTCTCTTCAGGTATTAATATTCTGGATGGGTCTAACAATCTTTCTGGGAAAGTTGAGAGATGTTTATTAAACGAGAGTCAGCAGTTTCTCATGGTATTCATGAAACTTCAATAGAATTTCCCATCCCTTGATCTGGCTAACGTTTTAAAATCAGTGATGTCACAGTGTCAAGGTAATACGTCTGAGAATATTTTATTTTGTCTGCATAAATCGATTTTTCTCTTTGCTTAGATATTTCGATAACTGGAGAAATTTTTTGTTTATACGATACGCAAAAGTGCCGACTATGTCAAGCAACATCTTCATCCGACATTTTCTAACTTTCAAAATTGTGCGTGGATTATTGACTCGTTTCCGATGTATATCGCGCCACCGCGTAACCTCACATCTTAATCAATCACGTACAATGACTACTAGAGTGAGAACGTACTTAAAGGCCTCTCCTGGGCATACACCAACAATTCATTTTTCTGTTGTATTTTTTTCTGAACTATTTTTTGGGGCTTTTTCCGGTACGGAGTTGGCGGTTCGTTCTGGTTTAATACCCGTGAGTTATCCATCGAGTACCGAGATTATGGTGGGCAAGGAGTTTTATCTCCAGGATATCGAGACAGGAAAAAAGTGGAATTGCAATTCCTAATTTCCTCAGTGAGAGTGGACAGTACAACGCAAAAATCGTTGGCGCAAATATGAAAGTTTCCAATTCTTGTTGAACATGCTATCGATTGCATGCACCTTTTTCTCCAGTCTTCGCTGCCATATCAACTGTTTTGCAACATCAGCCAAATTGCTTTTATCTGAAATCAAATGCTTTTATGGAAATACGAATGATTTTTTTAAGATGCGGAAATCCATTTTTTCTTTCACGATAAAATTTCCGAGAACTACGGCCTCACTGGGTTTTAAAAAACGTGCAGAATAGAGGGACACTTAACTTCAACTATTCAAAATTATAGAAAAGAATTTAAGTAAAATCATTTTACATACAAACATAATATATGATATTGTACTGGCATTGAATAAATGTGTATCGTCTGAAGCCGGAAAAACGGCTCAAAGGAGCTGTCAGATGTGGAGAGATGGTAATCTGAAACGTATTTCAGCGTCCCAAGTTGAGCTAATTCTGAATCGGATCAAAAAGTTATCCGAACTGTTTTTAAAAACTTTGTTTTCTTCCATTTCATGTCTCGATCAGTTTCAAGCACCCCGCCTCATTCAACGTGGAATCGAGCATGAGGAAATGACTCTTCAGGCATATCAAATAGCCAACTTATCAAAAGGTTTTCAGGTTGAGCTTATTCCATCTAGCTTTGTTACTCAAGCGGTTTACTTCTGGCTCGGTGCATCGCCCGATTCCAAAGGCCGGATGATAAGCGGAGGGAAAGTAACTTTTGGAATAGTTGAAGTAAATAATCCATTCCATCTCACCTGCCGACGGGTTACCTATGTTCGACGGTTCCGGCGATCGCCACGAACAGGAGCCGACGCTCAATAAAAAATCGATGTGGAACATTCTTTGGCCAGACACAATATTTGGTCACTCAGAACTGTATTCTGTGATCCACAGGGAACTAGTAAGCAGACGAAAGTGACCGAGTTTCCTATTCAGGGGTTTTAAGAAGTGTATTCTGCTTTTAGAACTGAAAAATGTTGAAAGCTAGTGCAAATGCGAATATGGCAATAGCGGCTTCGGTAGCCATGCTTGTGCTGTTTCATTTCGCCTAATTTCATATTAAATGTTACGCTACGACTTTCTCAAGCCGATTTTTATTGACTGTCGGGTCCTGTTCGTGGCGATCGCCGAAACCGTCGAACACAGGTAAGCTGTCGGCAAGTGAGATGGAATGATTATTCACAAGCAACAACGACCACCCAGACATCGTCCTCATTCGAAAGGCCCGATATAAGCTTTAGTGGTGAAATAATGAATAACGAAGTCTGATTTGTTTTTAGAAGGTGAATAGTTTGAGCTACATTCTGAAAGAAGGCATTTCCAAAAAACCCAAAAAGGTAAAACTATCCATGAAAAACGTTTAAAGGATATAATCATTTGAACTATATCATAACTGTTTAACCTTTTTTTGTTTTTATTAAAAAACGTTTCTTATTCTTATCAAAAAATTTGTTCTTTTGATAAAAGCAAGAAACACTTATAATATGGTTCAAATGATTATACCATTTTCCGTATTCTAAGATACCTTTTTTTTCTAGAATGCAGATACAACAGTTTTGGGTAGTATGTAACTTTTGTAAAACGGCACAAACCACTAATTTTCTTGTTTATTGCGGTAAGAGACTTTTTTTAAATGACGGGGGGCTATGGTGTCTAGCAAATAAGTCACTACACTGTGTATGTAAATCCACACGAATGTAATTTCAGACTCAGGCTATATCTACGGATGTGTCGTAGCTCATGCATTAAAAATGCACCCGATTTACACAAAAGAACGCACTGGATATGGACTCTCCATAAAAAAAGAAACAGAAAAGGATATTTCCATGGCGAGATACCCGTTTTGGAATCTCTGGGGAGTTACTTTTTTTGGTTCTGTCGAATTAGAAATGCCCTTAAACGTATTTTACAATACCATTTTAGTATTTCAGTGTACTTTTTTGGTTTTGTAAGATTTTTTTGAGAGTATTCCTCATTCTACAGAACCAAAAAAAGATAGTATCTACATTTGTTACTCAGAGATTCCGAAACGAGTATCCCGGTGTAGAATACCCTTTTTGGTTCTGTACAATACGAAAATTTTGTAGAGAGAAGATAATAGTTATCCGAAGAGTTTCATGGGCGTTCTCACGATAGAGATATCTCTGGAGCTCAAAATTGTCGTTTAAATATATAATATTATACCTGAACAGGTGAATCTTTCGAAAAATTTTAGAAATCTTTTTTTCTGGATGAAAATAGTATCAATAAGCGCAGAAAAGCCTGCAGATTAAATCTGTTACATTTTTAGTTGTTCGTAATTCTTCGCATTTTTACTAATCCCTTGAAAGTTTTCGATGATAAATGCTATATTTTTTTTGCTATCAGATGTCATTGTGTGGAGATACGATGTATTCTTAAATTTCATTAGATCGAGCTAAAAGTTTTACCAAAGATATTTAAGATACTATCGCAGATATTTCAGTTGCAATTTTTCTTGGTGACGAAGATATGCAAGAAAATACAGACAGTGAATTCAAAAACAAGAAAAAACTTTAGGAGTACTGTTGAAGACCTTTAAAATATCTTCATAATCAAGAGCCTTAAGAACTATGACACGTCTCATCTTGTTAAGCATACGTTTTGTTACTAAGTGAGACAATTGCGAGCTCGTGGTGTTCTTCTGATCGAAAGATAAAAAGACCGGAAAGCGGCGAAAACGGCACCAGAGTACATTTTCAGTGCTGTAACTTACCGGGATGGTGAAAAATAAACAGAGAGTTTTGCTTTTACGATATCTTAGAGAGTCAATTCAAACGTCATTCGAAAGAGCTGATATTTTTGTACATCGGTATATAAACATGACTTATTACTTGAAGCTATTAAGCAACTTTTAGTCAATATAAATGAGCGTGGTACTATAGCTCATACGAATAACCTTCTAACATTCACATACGATGATCAGAGACTTGATTTCAATGAAAGTGAAATAAGAATATTATACCACGATTCAGATTTGAATATTGATCAGATTGCAAATTATTTATATGAAAATGCGCAAATAACAATGGAAGACAATGGTTCAACTATGATAATTAAAAACTTTCATAACAATACATACAAATTTAAAAATCTAACAAAATACTTGCTACCGCCCTCAAATAAACTACACATGAATTTCCATTTCTTCGACCAAGATCAACAGCAGCCAAGAATATCTGATAATATAAACCAAGAAGTAGATATGGAAATATGGGAAGAAATTGTATCAAATTCGAGCACAAGTGATGATAACGATGACTACGATGAAGAATTTTATAATCAATTAATTAACGAAACATCTTTACAACGCATAGCACGATTTCATCAGACTATTCAATACATGTATGAACATGGTAGATTAAAAACTGATAAAGAAAACGGCCAATTAAAGATTCGTTTTGCCAACGATCATCTCATTATACCATACGATTCATTAGAATTTATCATGGATCGTTCAAAAACAAGTTTATCGTTTACTAGTTTTCAGATATCCGAATGGCTCTATAAACATGCCGATCAGATGAAAAATTCACGTACCGGAAACATTATTTTAACATTCAAAGAAAAGTCATATGAATTGCCTTTGATAAAAACGCACGAAACTAAATATGACAGTGGTGGAATACAGTCAACTACAGACTCAGGTTGCAGAGACCAGATATATGATAGTTCAGTTGAACGATTGCGTCCATCGGCACAACAAAAAAATCAAAGGCAGTCGACCTCCTCAGACCGAAGCACTATGAATCATGTACTGCCATCACGCAGTCATGGGCTCGCACGTTCTTCGTCCACCACATTTGTGTGGAAAGAGATATTGAAAAATAATTCAAAACTAACTGATTCACAAGACACTTCTCTCGTAACAAAAACTATTTCGCTCAAACAGCAGCACGAGTAAGAAAACATCGCAAGCAGTGCTTAGTTGGGCAGAGCACTGCGTTACTTTGATTGGAATGTATCATTAAACAATTGAAAATATCTTGAAATGCAAAATTTCAACGTGACTTGGATAAGCAATTTTATCGTCAGTCTTATATCCATCAACTACTCGCGTACGAGGACAAGAGTTTTAGGAGTGACTAAGTATTCAGTTTATTTTATTTACTGTCCTCGGAGTTCGTTTTCTATGGTCAGCATGCCAAAGTTTGACAAACTTTTTCTTGCAACTTCATGACAAATTTTATCAGACTGAGCAACGATGGAGTTTTTTTAATAAAAGCCAGGTATAGCTCTGTTACTCCTCGAGCTGTTTGCTAGGGAATTTAGTCCACGATGAACCTGATCAGGCTTAACTACGATAAAAAGCACAATCTGAAGATCATCGATTTTTTAGGTGAGTCTGAAACCAGGTCATTCCAATCCGATTTGGGTCTCGATGAATAAGACGAATTACTGTTGGAAGAAATTCATCATCTAACCAAAAGAGGATTCTCGCTCAAAGCAAACTGTAATATATCAAGCGCAGGTCGCTGCTGTCTCGCTTTGATCGTGATAGGCAGAACTGCTGCCAGAGCATGAATGATCTTACTCTTAAGCTTTTCAGTCGTTTTTTTGTCAGAACCTTTTTGTACTTTATACTTGTTGGGCTGCTTAAATGCAGTAACGAGTGGAACCGTACTACTATCCATTCAAAAACACGGTACTAGTGGTTGTTTTATAAATAACTTTTGATACAGATGAGATAGCGACCTGTGGTTTTTAGTTTTGGAAACTAGACACCTGACCACATATTTCTGTAAGAAAGAGTGAATTTTGGAAAACTTCTGAAGTCGGTTTTTAGACGATCTTTGAAAAACTAGCTTGGGTTTTCCGAAATTCACATAGGAATGTATTGAGTTTTCTCATCAGCTGATGGCGTGTTCTCTTCAAAACAGGAGTAAAGCGAGAACTTGAATTCGGTGACTCTCGGCAGCCTTAAAGACGAATGGACTATGGATAATCGACCATGCTGAGTCTCGTGGCAATATTTGTTTTTGGAAAAAGTTTTAAAAATCTACCGAAGAGCCAGTTTTACGAAAATTAGGGTTTTCACCTAATATTAAAAAATTCACTAATCAACAAACATCAGAACAAGCTCAAAAATCGCAGGATATGGTTAATGTTGTCCGCTAAACATGATTATAAAATCGAAAAATCTGAAAACATAATTTTGTTAATAGGTTTTCCAGAACCTCTTTTGGAAAATCTTAGGGCTTTTTAACTTTATTTCGACATCTTCTACGAACAAGATATAGAATAGCATAAATAGTCTGCATTCTGAAGTTTTGAACTCGTTCTGATGCTTTTTGAGTGAATAGTGAATTCATTAATAATAGATGAAAACAGCCTGAAAACCCTAATTTTCGTAAAACTGGCTTTTCAGAAGCTTTTCCAAATTCGCTGTTTCTTACAGAAATATGTGGTCGGATGTCTAGTTTCCAAAACTGAAAAACCGCAGATCGCTATCTCATCTCTGTCAAAAGTTATTTATAAAACAACCACTAGCACCGTGTTTTGAATGGGTAGTAGTGTATAACGGACAACAGATAAATCAGCACCTTTCTTCTGGATACGCAGTAAAAAATTTGGACGCGTCGAACAAAAATTGCAAAGCTACAAGAGTGTGAATGATCCTGACTGACTAATGGAAACACTACGCGATGATGAAGGTTCGCGCTAATCGGCGTGATATTTGTATTTTTAGAGACGATCGAGTCAGCCGGTTATCATGACTATCTTATCGAAGTCTTGTCATGGTGCGCAAACACTTGTCAATTTTTCGGAACAAAAGTGACCCATAATTGTTTTTCAATATAAGCGATTATATTTTAAAACGCATACAGATTTGTCGGGAGAAAAATGTAACTCGACGAGTCCAAGAGGAACTTCTCCGGACACCTCTTTCACTAGACTCACAGTTATTCCATATAATCGTGTTGTGGCGCGTTGAAAAAGTAATTTTATTTTTCTTGAAAATCGTTTTTTTTTTTTGTGTTTACCGTCATATGCCTCTCGGAAGAACTAACCTGTGTGGTTTTTCAAGTTTCTTCACGATCTTCGTTTTTAAAAACATCTTTATTGGACAGCTTCCCAAGTATGATTGACCAGGCATCGTTATCCTTAATATTCACGCTCATTGCGATCTTGAGTTATCAGATTTTGACAGAGTTGTTTACTCTCATTTGTTGTAGATATTTTTGATGGATTTAATATTTCCGAATAAATTATTTTTCGAAATCTTTCAATATTTTGATTTAATTGATTTACACCATAGTTTTTATAATCTAAACTATCGGATTAATTGTATATTAAGTGGTGTTCGATTCAATTTAGATATTGGTTGTGCACGTGACAAAAATAAGTACAATTATCTTTGTCAACATATACTACCATTACGATCAAAACAATTTATTAATTTAAAAATAGACGATCATGATGCATTAATCACACGTCGTTATTCAGTTGATATTCGACAATTTTCTAATTTACGAACATTAATCATTCCACACGTATTATTTGAAGAATTTGCTCAAATTCGTCCAACTATCTTTCCATATCTAACATCTCTAAAAATAAGTAGCGCTTTGTGCAATTCTCAAACATATTTTCAACTATGCGAACAAATATTTGCAACGAATAAGTTTCGAATTTTGAGAAAATGTAGTTTATATTTACTCAGACACAATCTCACTGTTTCAACCATATGTCAGCTGGAATATTTAAAAATAAATTTATGTTCAATGCAAAATTTTTATGTTTTAATCCAGAACTTAAAATTAAAAGTATTTATTGTCGATTTAAGAAGCGAAATAAGAATACCCACTACAACAATAACAGATCATTTTAATTTGGGTGTTGGTGACAGAATGACATTTCAAGACTTGGAACAGTAGTTATGGCAATTACCTAATTTAAATTATTTTAAAACTGCATCGTTTGGCTATGAATATTTGAATCTGGAACAATAGAAATATATTTTAGAAAGTTTACCGAACGTCAAAACATCAGATTGTTCAATTACTGTTGACGATTATGATGATGATTTTCTCAAAAATATTCAAGATTTAGAACAATAAAGTTTATTATTTTACCGTATAGAATGCAATTTTGAAGTTAAGTATTCGACCGGGTATTATGACTAAACAGCTGAGATTGACAGACATCTCATCGAGTCTTTTTAGTTTTTTTAATAAATAATTTCCGAGAGTTACTGTTGATTGATGCATCTGTTGTTAGTTGTTAACAAACAACCTACCAATTCTGTTGTTCAAATCAAGGAATTCATTAATGTCTAAATGCATAACCCCTATTTCTGCTAGTATAAGAGCATCGATCTATTCTCTTTGCTAAGAGAAAAACGAAATGTGACTTTTGCACAGGAAAAACTTAGAACTTATTCCGCCTCTACAAAAGATTAACTGATTATCGGGGCGGCACCAAAATTCTACGTGCGCAAAAACGAAACTTTTATAGCTTGAGAACGAAAGTAGCTAGAGAGTTCATTTCTTCAGTATTGAAGTCAAAGGTTAATCGAACAAGATGAAGAATAAATGAAGAAGATTCATTCAGTAGAAAAAAGTTATCGATTGTATATCCGCAGGACAACTATGATGCAATGACCGTACATTTCACTCATTTCTTCGTGAAAGCAAAGTTGTTTTCGAGCTTATTAATGAATTTAAGAAGAAACATAAACGTATTTACGTGAAAACAGCTAAATTTCATAAAATAAAGGGAAATTCCGGTAAGAAAACTTAGTTTAGCGGTATGACAAGACCAAAGTCAAGCTTGCTGAATCAAAGAGTGATCAAGATCTCTTAGTAAGAGACCTGTGAGTTTCCAGATAGAATACTAGACACTACCAGAATCCTACTAGGATTTCGATTAGGCATGGATAAACAATTCGGAATGGCTATTGCCACTCTCTGAGAGTGTCAACAAGAGCTATTGCCACTCTCTGAGGGTGTCAACAGGAGCCGTCGTATTTTTACTTTTGGGCGTAAGTTCCAGTACACTTTATGAATTTCTTAA